GGCCTTGTTAGGGCCGGCTCACTTCATGCTGCGCTTCCATTACAGTTTAGGAACTGGGGTAGTTACTATAGTAACGCAGTGTAGGCGGAGCCGTGACGTCATCTTCAATGAGAACCCCAGAAAAACAACACAGCCGTTAGCTGTTAGCACTCAAGCTCACAGCTCCTCATATCTGTTCAGAAACTAGACAAAAGTTAAACAAGTACAAACCACAGACTGTCTGTCATGGCGAATACAGTCGCTGGTTTATTTATGTCTGTATAGGCCGTTGTTGTGAGTGTGGACGGTCGGAGCATATATTGCGTTGGCTTAGCCAATCTCCATCTAGAAAACACGCATTTTAAAAGGTGTTTCGCCTGCCGTCTGTCTGCAGACTTGTCAAAGCATTCATTCATGGTTTTTACTAACCGGTATCAGTATGTTGTTACTTTGGCATCATTTTGAAACGTGTATTACAATTAAATCACGGTCAAATATGTTCATCTTGTTGTAGCCCCCTTGCCAGCGATTCTCTCTCTAGTTTAGCAAACTCAGCCCGACTCAGCCCTGTTTGTTGGCCCCGATAGAACCACGATTTTGTCGGGCCAGAAAAGAGGTGAAAAAGTAGCCCCGGGCCGGAACTAGGCCAAGTGGAAGCGCAACCAAAAACGGGCCCGGCACGACAGGGCACGCTTAAACCGCGCTCCGCGCCATGGTGGAAATGCATTAGTGTCTTAATGCAAACGTTTTGTAAAGTGATGCTAGACCAAAAACGTGCTGTTGGGTTGTGTGCTCTCTGCAGGACAGTGTCTGTACTCAAAGATTGTTTATGAAATGAAAGCTTTACTCTGTTTTTGTTGTCCAAACGACGCCAACAGAACGATACGTCTTCTTTCCAGCAGATGGCATAAATGTTACATCATCCAGTTCAACTGTCATCCACATATTAATAATTCAAAACAGAAATGTGTAAGATATGACTAGTAATTGACTATTTCAACTAGGGCTGTCAAGTTAACACGTTAATAACCCCACAAATTATTTTAACGTGCGATTAACGCATGTATATTTGTCCTCGGCCCGCCCCGTAGTTTCAGAGCCCAAAGGCTTGACGTTGTTGTTGTTAGTTGGATGGTGGGAGATTCTAGCGAGAGATATGGATAAAAAAAGGTGTTTTAAACAGCAAGCCAAGCCCACAGCTGATGCTGACAGCCAGGCGCGCCGGATTCACTTTAGAAGTGGGGGGGCCAAAAAAGTGCGTGTGTATGGCCCAATCCCAAACCACGCCCTACACACTCCCCCTCCGTGACGGAGTGAACTCCGTGGAGTGACACATGAGGCTCCCTCCTGTCAGATGGAGGGAGTAAATACAGCGGCAAGCTTTGGGACAAACTCCCCTCTCTCCGGCAGAAACAGGAAATGCCGTAACTGTATGTAACAACGGTTTCAAATCAGCATCTCTTTGACAAAAAATGTAAATTAATAACTCAAATAAAACTCCAAACATCTTTAATTGTGTTACTTTTTTGTAAAGCTCTTTTAGTTTTAAACCTGATGTTTATAAGCTTCTTAGTTTTTGCAACAGTCTGTAAATATACACAACTTTATAATAAAATGCACACATTTACCTTTTTCTAGACTAAACACAGGTAGCCTATGATCCTAAGTTAAAAACATATGAGGTTGTTAACATCGCAGTTTATCAGTGGGTTATTGATTCTGCGTCAGTCTTGGGACAGTCATACATTCCTATGAAGTCTTCATGGACAACATAATCAGCTGATACCCATCGTACAGTCAGAGACAACTGTTCATGGAGGCTTTGGGCACTTTTTCCAGTTATTAACTCCGGTATTAACAAAGCTATCATCTCCACATTTTGAGAAAGTTACAAGCCGTTTGACAGCAGCAAATCTGCATATTTCACAGAAGGCCCGTTTAGTGGTTTTGCAAATAATTAACCACTCTCTGTTTTTGTACCATTCTGCGTTGAAATACCTTTCTCTTTGCCCAGACGATCTAAAAATGTTTTTTTCACGAACAGTTTCTTAGCTGTCTCCCTACTGGCTGACACCATCCCTGACTCCACCGTCACCCATGTTTCCCCTACTGACCTGGTCAACACCTACAACAATGCTCTCTCCTCCTGTCTCAACCAACTCGCTCCAATAAAACCAAGTATGTCTCTTTCACTCACTCGGCCCCCTGGTACACCGATCATCTCCGTTGCCTCAAAAGGAAAGGTCGCCAGCTCGAAAGACATGCTAAACGAACTGGTCTCACTATCCACAAAGACATTTATAGACTGCACCAACAGCAGTACAAAGATGCCCTCAACAGTGCACGCTCCTTCCACTACTCCTCTGTAATACAATCTGGCAGCAATAACCCAAAGTCCCTTTTTTTCAACTATTAACAAGCTCCTCAACCCCATGGATAATATCTCCAACTCCTTCACCACCTCAAAGTGTGAATCCTTCCTCTCATTCCTCCAAAGCAAAATTGAAATAATACACAGCAACACAGCCAACTCCTCCGTCTCGTCCACCACCCATGCTTTTCTGGAACCTACCCTACTCCTTCCAGGCACCCTTTTACAGCCTTCAGACAAATTACCTCACTGGACATAGTTGCCCAAGTCACCGGCATGAATACCTCAACTTCCATCCTGGACCCCATGCCCTCCACCCTTGTCAAGGCCTGCCTCCCCCAACTCACTCATCTTATCACCACAGTCATTAACTCCTCTCTGTCCACTGGACTTGTCCCCCTTGCTCTGAAACTCGCTGCTGTCACTCCCATACTCAAAAAACCTGGTCTCAACCCTGATTCTCTCAATAACTACCGGCCCATCTCTAACCTCCCATTCCTGTCAACAATTCTGGAGCAAACTGTTGCCTCCCAACTAAAATCCCATCTGGACTGCAATAACCTTCATGAACCTTTTCAATCTGGTTTCTGTACTCGCCACAGCACAGAATCTGCCCTACTCAAGGTGACCAACGACATTCTCCTCTCTGCTGACTCTGGTTGCCGCTCAATTCTCATTCTCCTTGACCTAACAGCCGCATTTGACACGATCAGCCATTCCATCCTCATCAACCGCCTCCAGTCTTCCATTGGCATTACCGGTACTGCCCTCTCCTGGTTTAAATCCTATCTCTCTGACAGACATCAATTCATCTCCATTAACAACTCCAAATCTCCCTCAGGGTTCTGTACTTGGTCCCCTTCTGTTCATCATCTACATCCTCCCAATTGGACAAATCCTCCATCAACACCAACTCCAGTTCCACTGTTATGCTGATGACACACAGCTCTACCTCTCAACAAAATCAATTTCTCCAACCACACACTCCCAGCTCAGCACCTGCCTCACTGACATTAAAATTTGGATCCAAAACAATTTTCGAAAACTTAACTGTGACAAATCGGAACTTATAATCATTGGCCCAAACTCACTTACCCGCTCAACCCAAGATTTGTATCTTACCATCGATGGCTCCATTGTCAACCCCTCCACTCACATCCGTAACCTTGGCATCATCCTCGACCCCACCCTCGACCCCACCCTCACTTTCCAACCAGGTCACAAAAAACGCTTTCTTCCATTTAAAGAACATCGCCCGCATCAGACCCATCCATGCCTTTATAACATCCCGACTGGATTACTGCAACAGCATACTTTTTGGATCACCTGCATTCATACTAACAAAACTTCAATATGTCCAAAACTCAGCTGCCCGCTTGCTCACCTCCACCCGATGCTCCGACCACATCACCCCTATCCTCCATGACCTCCACTGGCTCCCCATCAAACACCGCATTGACTTTAAAATATTACTTTTCACTCTCAAAGCCCTCAACAACCTTGCCCCCCCTACCTCTGTGACCTCATCCAACGACACACCCCCACCCGTCGCCTCAGGTCTGCTGAAGCTAACCTACTGCAGCCCATCAGGACAAAGCTCCGGACCTGGGGTGACAGGGCCTTCGCTGCAGACTCCCCCCCACTCTGGAACCCCCTCCCCAGCCACGTCAGATCTGCCAACACTCACATCATTCAAACAATCCCTCAAAACTCACCTTTTCACTCTTGCCTTCAACTCCTATCAACTAACCCCTTGCCCTTATTCCACCTAGCTTAGCACTTTCTACTTTTGTTGTTATTTTGTTTTACTTGCTTGTAAGCTCTTTGAGCACCAGGAAAAGCGCTTTATAAATGTGATGTATTATTATTATTATTATTATTTAGACGCTTCTTGTGAGACTTGTGTTTTGTTTCGGTAAAAATGGTTCGTATCGTCAGTTTGCTGAGTTTCTTCCCGTTTGGTGGGTATGACACATTCATAGGTTTTTAAATGTTAAGAAGCCCTGAGACACAGTTTCGCGGGCGGGGGCTCTCGGGCTTAACAGGTTAACAGGTTAAGGAAATCACATTCCTTACAAAGTACTTCATATTCTACCAATTTGTTTTTTAAGAAACCATCTAAGAATACCCCTTTAAACCATATATTATCACAAGAACAAAGGGTCAATACAATATTATAACCCTCCTATACAACTTCAAAAGGCATCCTTAAATGTCATAAAACCATATTATATCGCAAGAACAAAGGGTCTATAAAGTATTATTACCTAAATATACAACTTCAAAAGACATCCTTAAATGTCAAAAAAACATATATTACCACAAAGGGTCAATAAAGTATTATCAGCCCCCCACTAGACAACTTTAGAAAATTACATCCTTAAATGTCATATAACCATATTATATCGCAAGAACAAAGGGTCAATAAAGTCTTATGACCCCCCTATTTAAGAACAATACTTTATAGGGGGCAATACAACAACAATAGGTGAGCAAATAAGTTCTAAAACAAATATTGACAACAATGGTTTACTAGGGGGGACACTACAACAGGTTCACAGACAAACGGTCAATAAAGTCTTATGACCCCCCCTATTTAAGAACAATACTTTATAGGGGACAATAAACAGCTAAACAAACAAGTCATAACAAGAATGAAGACAATGGTTTATTAGGGGGGCACTACAACAGGTGCACTGACACCTGTCACATCAAAGGGATTTAGGTTTTATGGGGGGTCATAAAAATCACTCAACATGTCATAAATACCAAAGTGACACATACCCTGTTCTTTCAACTACTAATTTCTTCCATTAACTGGGGGTTCCCTCCCGTTAACTGGGGGTATTTCTGGTCACGTTAGCACACATGCAGCGTTCAGTGGGGCGATGCAGGGTTTGGTGAAGCCGTCAGCGAAGCCCCCGCCCTCCACCAGCTCCGGCCTGCGGTTGCACATGGGGCAGATCTTGTTGCGCTCCTGCGACGCTCGAATCCAGACGATGAGGTTCCAGCGCCGGCCCGAGGAGATGGGCAGGGCCCCGTGCATCTGCTGGCCCCGGTGCAGGAGACCCTCGCTCACCCTGTACTCCACCTCCCAACACTGCATCTCACTTAGAGCTACCTGCAGAGACATAAACACCAATAACCAGCATCAGTGGTGAAGAGCAATGTTCCCAAATACCACTGTTCCCAGTTTCTGTCCCACTAACCAGTCCTTAAAGACTACAGAGCCCAAACTGTGTTCCCGTTAGTGTTTACTTCCTGTTTACCTTCTCCTACTGTTCCCGTTAGTGTTTACTTCCTGTCTGTTTTCTTTGGCTGTTCCCTTTAGTGTTTACTTCCGGTCTGTCTTCTTCTGCTGTTCCCTTAAGTGTTAACTTCCTGTCTGTCTTCTTCTACTGTTCCCTTTAGTGTTTATTTCCTGTCTGTTATATAAAAATACTCATAGCAGAAATGTCACTGTCCTACACATCCTTTGTTTACAATGGCCGCAATATAATACAATTGGGCAATGGTAAACAAAATTAAAACACAGCATATAAAGTAGATATTAGGTTAAGTGAAGGTTAAAGGATTTTAATATTTGAAGGTTTACACTGACTTTTGCTTCTATTATTTTTGGGACAGAGTTAAAACTAAAAATGGTCCTGGAGTTTTAAAACCCAGAATGTGAATTAGCACTTAAATCTACTACATAGTTTATTTTTGAAAGACAAATTTAGCAAATGCACATGCTGTTAGATAATATATTGGCACAAGGCATTCAAAACATTCAATGTTTTCTTAAAGTCTGTGTCACTTTAAGGTACGATGCCAAAGGTGATTTCAAAACATGTTACCAATCATTTTTGAAATTCTACTCTGCAACGTCAAAATTGTAATGCCAATTCTCATGTCTTACCATTTTTCATGACTAATTATACCAATTAAGGCCTCATTTTAAGATGCCTTTTAAGGAAACCCTGAGTATAACCCGGGGGTGTAGGTGTGGGTAGTATTACAAGTATATATATTCACCTGTCTCATATCCCCAAAATAAAGGTTTCCCTCTGTGAAGTCCTTTCCGAGGGAAACGTTCAGCGTGACCTCTGCGTTGTCGTAGTGGTAGCTCAGGTCCCGGTCTTCGTCCATGTCGTATTTCACCACGAAGGCCTTGTGGCTGTCCAGGCTGCCCCCCCCACAGTCGGGGTAGAGCAGGGAGGTGAGCGGCTGCAGGTAACGCTGGCGGAGCGGCGTGATGAAGCCCTCGTCGAAGCCCAGTTCATTCAGCAGGATCTGGAGGACATTCATGAATAACACACTTTCAGACTAGAGGTAAGAAAGCAGCTAAAACGCAGGAGTTTATTTGACTAACTTTGTCTGTTTGGGTCTGTAGATTTCTCCTGAATTCACCAACAGTTAGGATCACATGAAGCCTAATTTGCATATTTAGACATGAAACGTCAGAAAACTTGTAAAAACTTGATTTGAATATGCAAACAAAATAAAACAATACTTTTTAACATGGATTTACCAAATGTTCACAATTCTGTTCTGGAATACTCCGTAAATAAAACATATTTGATAAGAAAATGCCTAATTTACACATATAAACATAATATTTCATAAAAGTTGTAATACAAAAAGTGAGAACGTTTTATAGTGATATCTATTAGTTAAATATTTGACCCTATTCACATGTAGTGTTCCTGTCATGACCCTTATATTTATATAAAAGTCCTCGCACGAAACCTCTGATATTTCATCGAGCTTCTCATATTTCCTGACTGAGGGACTACAGGAGGCCAAAGATCAAAATGTCATGGCACCATAAGTATTAAATGTGAATGTGCAGTGAATAAATAGTGTTTTGGAGGTAGAATTACCCCGTAGTGGTTCATGGTGTTGGGTCTTCCTTTGGGGGCGGAGGACTGCTCAAAGTGCTCCAGCTCCTCCACCAGCTGCTCACAGAAGCTTCTCTCAAACACCGGGAAGCGATAAACTCGGGCAGCTTCAACAGAAACATGGGAATCAATGGTTATAAAGGGGGGAAACAGGTGCAGGGCTGACTGTTTTGTATTGAGTTTTGTTCATTATTAGGCCACTAGAGAAGAGGGTTTCTGTTCCTTTAATAAGTCATTAAAATGTTATCCGCCTTTATTTATATCCTGCTTTAAAAATACTGTTTGCTGAATCCTTTTAATTTGAGATCGTCATTAAAACAACTTCAATTTTACCAACTCCATCATCCTAAAAGGGAACATTTTTACAAATGTTTTTGTATGAGAGCTAATACTTCCCATGTTTTTGCTTTTTTAATACATTTAAAAATGGATTTTAAGACATTTGTATGCCCTGTATAACCAGGCCTTACGTGATAGTATCTGTACACATGGGATTCAACCACATTTTTTTAATAAAATGATATTTTAAATATAATTTTGAACTAAGACATAGCAAGCATAACAGTATGTATACTCTTTAAAGTCAACAGAGAAAAATGGGAATTATTCATTTGTGTTGCGTCAGCTTCACCTTTCAACGTCTTTGTAATGTTTATAACTCACTACAGGAAAGGGAACACCCTAAAAAACATAATAGGGCCCTTTTAATATTTGGTTTAACTGTTAATTTCACTGTCTTTGTAACATATTTAAAATGTATTTCAGGACTTTTTTATATCCTGTATAACCGGGACTTGCATGGCACATGAAGCTCAGCGCAAGTTCAACCAGGAAGACCGTCTTTACTCATTCACGTATCTCTATTCCCACGTTACTACTCTCTCTCCTCTCAATAAGTGACCGGGGGCGTCACTCTTCAGATTAACCAATCACTTCGCTCTATTCCCAAGAGCCTATCATAGCGTTCTGTCAAACCTTTTAAGTCTGCTCTTCCCCCTCTGACAGCTGTCATTTCAGGTGACTCTACGTAGTTGGTAGTCGCAACAACCTTCTAAGTAAAAATTGCTTCTAAAAAGTAAAACTCAACATGTCCAGTTCGGACTTCTCCGAGAACGATCCCTTTCAGGAGGATCCCGATCCTGGCCCCGACATGCTGGCTGACACAGCTTCGACTTCCTCAAGTTACCGGCGCACGAGCATTCGCTTGCTTGCCCGCAGCAGCGCAGCTTCACGGACAGCAGAGGCAGAGCTCCTCACCTCTCAACTTCAGCAGCAGGGCATCGTACCAGCACCAGGTCTCCCTCTCTCCCAGCTTCGTGAGCTCTCGGACCAAGTCCCACTCGTCGCTCCCCAGCCCATGCCAGCAGCTCCAGCCGGCCTCTCTGACAGACCAGGGCGCAGGCGCGGGCGCGGGCGCGGGCGCGGGGGTAAAAGAACAAGAAAGTCGAGCCCTCCAGCAGCTCCTCCCTCAAAGAAGACAACTCCTTCCCAGCCTCGCCCCATCGCTGACCAGCCCGTAAGCACTTTCAACCAGCCATACATGGATAACAGCTTGGCCAACACCCTGCAATCCCTGGCCGATTCCATGCAGAGAATCGACACTCGCCTCCAGTCCCTGGAAAGGGTTTCAGCCGAAGCCTCCACTTCAGCAACCACCAGGGCCGTACTTTCTGCCATGGCGCAGCCAGTGCTCACGCCGGGCCAGGCCCTTTCAGTCCCACACACAGATGTCTCCCCTCATTCTCTGGCTTCTGCCATCCCACCCCCTCCTCCAGGTAGGCCTTACATCCCCCAAGCTGCTAATATTTCCCCCCGGCTCAGGGCAAAAATACTTCAAGGGCAGGATATTAACCTGGTCAGCCTTATCCTACCTTCCCCCGAGTGTGACAAATCCATCGCCACCGGGGGAAACATCACAGCAGTGTTCAAATCATCAGACCCCCGTCTCAACAGAGACCTTTCCATAGGCCAGTTCCTGGTTGCATTCGGCATATATCGTGAAGTAATATGTTCAGTCTACCCGGGAAGGAGGCAAGAACTAGACGCTCCACTCCAATTAACATAACACACTTAGCAGCCGTCCTATCTACTCACCCAGATCCCGTGTTCGTTGACTATCTCCTCTCAGGGCTTTCCCAAGGCTTCAGGGTAGGGGTCCTCTCTTCCCCCACAGTGACCTTCGTTGCAAAAAACCTGCAGTCTGCCCTCAAAGAACCCGCAGTTGTTTCTCAGCTCATAGAGAAAGAACTCAGCAAAGGGTATATCATCGGTCCTTTTCACTCATCTCCATTCTCAGTGTTTCGCACCAGCCCAATAGGAGTAGCCACTCGCAAATACTCAGAGAAAAAAAGGCTCATTTATGATCTGTCTGCACCACGCTCAGGCCCCTTTTCCAGCGTCAATAGCCTCATCCCATCAGAGCCATTCTCCCTTCACTACGCCTCGGTCGACAACGCTATTAAGTTAATTAAATTCGCCGGCCAAGGAGCCTGGCTCTCCAAAGCAGACATCACCGATGCCTTCAAAATCATTCCCATTCATCCGTCCCAGTGGAACATGTTCGGCATCAGGTGGGAGTCCAAGCTCTACTTCGCCGTCCGCCTCACTTTCGGGTGCAGAAGTAGCCCATGCATCTTCAATTCCTTCTCCGAGGCTCTTTGTTGGATCCTGCTGATCGTTGTCAGAATCCCATCCGTTCTTCACCTGCTGGATGATTTTCTCCTCATAGATCCCCCATGGGACAACTCAGGCGCTTCCCTGCTTAAACTGAAACACTGTTTCCAAGAGCTAGGCGTCCCCCTATCCACGGAGAAAACCATAGGCCCCGACACAAGTTTGGAGTTTCTGGGCATCACTCTCAACTCCATAGAGATGAAAGCGTCTCTCCCCAATGACAAACTGCAGCGCATACGCGACATCACGAAGTCCTACTGTGCGCAACACATCATCACTAAACAGCAGCTGCTCTCCCTCCTCGGGCACCTCAATTTCGCCATGCGCGTCATCCCACAGGGACGCTCATTCATCTCCCGCCTCCTGGACGCAGCATCAGCCGTAAAAAACCTTCACGATCATGTTCCCTTAGATGAAGGATGCCGCTCAGACCTACGCTTCTGGTCCCTCCTGCTCGACCAATGGAACGGTGTCACTTTCTTCTACAATGACATAGTGCACTCCTCAGACTCAATGAGGCTCTTCACGGATGCCGCCCCATCCGCTGGTTTTGGGGGTTTCTTTCAGGGAGAGTGGTTCGCAGGTCCCTGGCCCCTCTCCTTCCCTAATCATGCCACATCCTCTGCCCTGCACGAGATCTACCCAATTGCAGTAGCTTGCTATGTGTGGGGCCACCTCTGGCTCCGGAAACGCATTTCAGTGTTATGCGATAACCAAGCAGTGGTCGGGATCATTAATAAAGCGCGCTCTCCCTGCCCGGACATTATGCCATTCATGAGAAGCATCACGTGGTCCTCCATCACCCACAACTTCATTATCTCAGCCCGTCATGTTCCCGGCCACCTCAACGTAATCGCTGACTCCCTCTCTCGCTTTCACTTTCAGACATTCCGGAACCTCTGCCCAGAAGCCAGGCTGCAACCTGTCGGGATTCCCCCTCTTCATCTCCTTTCCCTCTTCTAAACACAAGCCCCTTAGTTAGGCACCTCGAGTCCGCCAGGTTTCTCATGAGGAAGGGCTTAGCCGCTTCCACTCTCAAAACGTATGATTTCGCCTGGAGAACCTTCACCATGTTTTGCTTTTCGTTGTGCATCCCCCTCAAACCCGTTCTCATCCACACTGTGTGCGCCTTCATGAGCTACTGCTTCACCGACCGTCACCTTAAACCCCAATACATTCGGGGTTTGGTAGCCGGGGTTCAGTTCAACGTCCGATGCTATGATCCCAGTTTTCCTAGTTTATTTTCTAACCAGGCAGTTAAGCTCATTCTCAAAGGACTTACTAAAGCTTCCCCTCCTGTCTCAGACCGCAGATTACCTATTACCCTCTCCATTCTGCGCCTCATGCTTTCCAAACTCAGAGAAGGAATATTTTCTCCTTATATAGACGCACTACTTGATGCTCTATTTCTTTTAGCGTTTTACGCTTTCCTTAGGCCCGGCGAATTCTCCACAGCTTCCCTCTCGTTCGACCCCCATCGAGACATCTGTTTTTCCGATCTGTCTTTTTATGCGAGTCACTACAGCCTAAGCCTTAAGCACTCCAAGTGCGGAGGCGCTTGCTCCGTCATTGCGGCTCGCATCGATTCCCCATTTTGCCCCCACAAATCTATGATCAATTACCTGCGCTTCAGATCTTCCTTTAGTCCCCTCTCACCATTATTTCTCACTTCAGGGAATCTTCCCCTGTCACAATCTCGGTTCAAATACTACTTAAAGCAAGTAGTCATCAAATGTGGATTATCACCCCAATTATATTCGGGGCACTCTTTCAGAATAGGCGCAGCTACTTCTGCGGCTAATCAAGGCATATCATCCTCATCCCTGCAACAACTCGGGCGGTGGTCCTCCGCTGCCTTCACCTCCTACATCCGCCCCGACATCAGTTCTGTCCTGGCAATCCAGAAATCTCTCAAGCCTTAACTCGGGTAAATATGCATATAACTGGTGGTGGTGCTTTAATAACATATCGGCATAACTCATCATGTCCTGTCCGTACATTATCACGCGTGACATTCCATGTCTTATTACCCATGCTAACAAACATGCGTATTTCATTTCAATCCTATATACTCATCATTGTCTCATTCTAATGCTAAAACCCATGTAATTCATGCATTCGACCGGAAGGGTCTGGGCTTGTGTCAAATCAGGATATGATCATCCATGCATCATAGTACGCCCAAACCTTCCCATGTTTAAACTCCCGTGCATTTCATGCACTCATAGCCGATTCATATTCACGTCACTTTCCCTAGCTAAATCCTCATGTGCATGTCATGCATTTTAAGCCCGATATATATTCCAAGCCTCTTTCCCCTGCTAAAAACCCCATGTGCATTCCATGCACCTAAGCCCGATATATATTCCAAGCCTCTTTCCCCTGCTAAAAACCCCATGTGCATTCCATGCACTTAAGCCCGATATTTGTCCCAAGTCTCTTTCCCCTGCTAAAACCCCATGTGCATTTCATGCACTTATGCCCGATATTTATTCCAAGTCTCTTTCCCCTGCTAAAAACCCCATGTGCATTTCATGCACCTAAGCCCGATATTTACTCCAAGTCTCTTCCCCCTGCTAAAATCCCATGTGCATTTCATGCATCTCTGCCATCTATACATTCATGTGTCTCTCCATGATTTATCTCGACCATGGGCCTGGCTCGGTGTCGAGCCAGGTTCTAATTCATGCATTATCGTTCGGCTCTAACGAGCTGCAGGTCCGTTCCCTTAGAAATATACTCCACTCTTAATTATGCTATTCAATTAATCTCTCCTTCTCTCCCCCGTTAACTCTCATCACATCCCTTAGATTCCTGCATCCAGCCCTCATGGTAAGAAACCCGTACATTTCATTCCATCACATCTTTTCGTTTTTGGGGGGTTTCATCGGATCGGTTCAACCTTCCCGAATGATACTTCCTGCACAACGGGGCCTAATCGCCAAAATTAACATTGCATTCATTTGTGCATCTGCGCAATAAATATGTATTATTACATCAAAACCGTCTCTCCTGATTGAAATGAAGCTCAGCGCAAGTTCAACCAGGAAGACCGTCTTTACTCATTCACGTATCTCTATTCCCACGTTACTACTCTCTCTCCTCTCAATAAGTGACCGGGGGCGTCACTCTTCAGTTTAACCAATCACTTCGCTCTATTCCCAAGAGCCTATCATAGCGTTCTGTCAAACCTTTTAAGTCTGCTCTTCCCCCTCTGACAGCTGTCATTTCAGGTGACTCTACGCAACCCTCCTCCACCCCTTTTCACCTCCTGTCCCTCTGAATCCAGGGTCAAGCTAAACCACTCCTCTTCAGACCGACCCAACTATCCATTCACCACCACCAGTGTCTAGACCCCAGGGGGGTTTCATCGGATCGGTTCAACCTTCCCGAATGATACTTCCTGCACAACGGGGCCTAATCGCCAAAATTAACATTGCATTCATTTGTGCATCTGCGCAATAAATATGTATTATTACATCAAAACCGTCTCTCCTGATTGAAATGGCGTAATCTTCAGTCAACCAACAAATAAAATGAAATCTACTGTAATTGACATTAAAAGTGCACATTATTCACGAAGAGGTCAAAGGTGACGGCGCTGACTCGGCAGAAATCCACTATCTGCTTGAACTTTGGAGCGAGGTAGGACTCCTGAGGAGAGAGAGGGGGGGGGGGTTGCAGGTGTGTTTCAGCGATGTGTTACTGTATGCACACATTCATTACATGGCTGAGTTGAATACTCGATTCTGATTGTTCATTTTGGACTTTTCCAGAGGTCCAATTTTAGCTAGCAGACCGTTACTAAGGAGAACAGACCGTTGCTAAGGAGAACTCGCTGCTAATAATCCCTGCCTTAACCTGTTAACCTGTTTTTCAGGTCTCAGGCTTGAAAATGACATTCCCAGAACAAATGACTATATCTTCACTTCTAAAAGGGGTAAATGAATAATCTTTTTTCTCAAAGCAATGATAAACCTGTGAGTTGGATGTAGAAGATTCAGAATCAATATAGAATTGTTTTATTTTAAATTCAGATTGAACATATTAAAACATGTAAATTATAGTGTCTGTCCAAAAAAAACATGACTTATAGTGAAAACCACCCTTGAATGATGGGATCGGAGACTAAAAGCTTTAGGAATCCAAACTATAACATATACTAAGTACCCTGTATCAAGATTGATGCAAAACAAGTGACATTCAACATTTTTAGAGAGGTTTAGAAGAAAAAAAACACTTCTGGGGTCATTTGGGTGCATTTGCCATATCTCTGGCCCCCTTCGGTCGATTTTGATGATTGACATCTCTTTTGAACCGTTAGAGCCAATAGAATCAAGGGGAAGTTCCTAAAATCCATCTAAACATTACCCATTGGTGAATGAGTGATGCGTAGCCAGAATGCCCAAAACGGGAAGCTGTCATACACTCTGGTAGCTATGATAGCAGTTATATGAAAACTCCGTTATTGACATAAATATGGTGATGGATTATCAGTAATCATTTCAAAGTGACACAGACACATTGGATTAACCTTCAGCCGCGTTTTTCTCGTTTTAATGCCATTGAACACAACTTTTGATCAAAAACAGCAAAAGGTAAGACATATTTGCCCTATTTGCTCCGTAAAGCTATGTCGTGTGATGTCTGGGTTTGCTTCCCATGCCACGATCACTCAGGGCTCATTTAGACGCTTCTTGTGAGACTTGTGTTTTGTTTCTGTAAAAATGGTTCGTATCGTCAGTTCGCTGAGTTTCTTACCGTTAGGTGGGTATGACACATTCATAGTTTGTTAAAGGTAGGGTAGGTAAGTTTGAGAAACCGGCTTGAGATACACTTGTTGTTATATTCCATGGAATGCTCTTAACATCCCGACAGCAATGAATATCTTAAGTGCTTTGACAAAAAATCCATTAAAAAATGTCATCTGTGGAAGCCGTAATACTGTAAAAAGCACGACCAATCATCTGAGCCGGCCCGGCTAAAATAACTGGATGGCCTACCTGCCTGTCAGCCTTCCATCTGTGCACAAACTTATCTCGTGCCCTCATTGGTCATGTGCGCGTTCGTGTGTGTTGGAGGAGGGGCTCTGTAAGGAAGTGGCAGATTTTCTCCGGTTGTGTATTTTCAAATTCTAGCGCACTCGAGCTGGTTTCTCCAAAATTACCTACCCCACCTTTAAATGATTATCTGAATCTTATATTTGCATTTCATTTTTCCTGTTAGAATGCTTTTCAAAATAAACAAGGCAGGGTTCCATACTTTATTTAGATTTGTGATGAATGTTAAATTACACGGCTTAATTGAATACTCGATTCTGATTGGTTAATTTGGAGATTGCAGAGGTTGTTAATACTCGATAACACAGTGGCGAGCCGTCAGGGCCCTCTAGGCCCTCTGTGAGGGCATAAGATATTCAAAAAAATAATATTTAAAAATATTTAAAAAAAATATATATTTTTCAAATATATATTTTTTTAATATTATTTTTGTTATATTTTTCATTAGTTTTACCGAAAAAAAACTTGATTTAATTGTATTTAAAATAACATTTCCAAAGAAATAAATCCTTCGAATCTGCCTGTTCAGTCTCTGTTGAATGTGAAGGGTTACATGAAAGAAGCTCGTCTGGCCCTCTCTGCGATTCACAGAGGGCCCGCTATAGTAACTGAACGAGAGAGTAATGTCAAATGACAGTACAATTGACCAATCATATCTTCCCTCTAAATGGGTGGGTTTTATTATCGCGGACTTTATGACAAGTTCCGCCCGCTGTGAAACTTTTCTTGTTTCCATAGCAACAACAACTTCCTGTCAACAGCGTGAACTCGCCTTCAAAATAAAAGCATGCCAAATTACACTTAAGACATACAACTGCAACGAAAGTAACAAACACAATGCAATATCATTTTAAATGTCAAATAACACAACTTGGGTTCACAGATGTTGTTTTGTGTGGTAGAGGGTCGCTGTCATTGATGCGTTTTGCACCCTGGGCCGTTGTTTTGATATTCCGCTGAAGTATACGCTGTGACGTAATAACTCTTTTTTTTTCTTTTTCTCTAGGGAATTGGTGGGGGTCAGAGGGCCTAGGTATAAAGCTCACGGCTCGCCACTGAGTTTGAGAAACCGGCTCGAGATACACTTTTTGTTATATTCCATGGAATTACACGGCTTAATTGAATACTCGATTCTGATTGGTTAATTTGGAGATTGCAGAGGTTGTTAATACTCGATAACACACCGCTGCCAAGCAAAATAGTGCCCGGTGGAATTGACGATCGTTTTTAAGTCAATATAATCATTTTCAATTGATATTGTGAGTCAAGTCGTTGGTTTGTTAAGTATGTGGCCGTGAAATAGGCGGATAATGTGCAGCGAGGCGGTCATTATAGAGACATATCACCCTTAAGAGTTGTATTCATTATCCCTTACTTAAAACACAAAGTCTACAACCCAAAGCAGAACTTAAAATATGATTTTAAGGAATCTTCTATTATCCAAAATCTAATATTGTGTCTTCCTTCACTCAGAGGGGAAGCTGTACTACGTCGGGCCGAAGAAGGAGGAGAAGAGGGAGGTGGTGATCGAGACGGAGAGGAAGAGGCAGATTTTCCTCGACTGCCACTTCAACGACATCGGTCATCACCTCGGCCAGAAGAAGACCGTGCACCGAATCCAGAGCAAGTACTACTGGCTGGGAATCATCAAGGACGTGGTGGACTGGGTACGTTCGTCTTTAATGCAGTGGTGCAGGAATGAGTCCTAAAACCAAGGGATGAGTCAACATTGTATCCCTTCCTGTCCCTTGGTGTTGAAGTTTTTTCTGAATGTGTTTTAGGTTATTATCCTGAAATAAGGTCTGAGGTTGACACAAGCTGAAGAGATTTTCACTTTTAGTTTTACGACATAAAATACATCTGTAAATAACCCACTGTCGGTTGCTAACAAGTGTCTAAATGAGACGACGAAACGTCATCACGCCCAACATTAGCCACCTTTAGCTTAGCGGTAGTGACGTGAAGTCATGTGACCGTGCTGTAGTTCCTTTATAGCCCAACATTAGCCACCTTTAGCTTAGCGGTGGAGACGTGAAGTCATGTGACCGTGCTGTAGTTCCTTTATAGCCCAACATTAGCCACCTTTAGCTTAGCGGTGGTGACGTGAAGTCATGTGACCGTGCTGTAGTTCCTTTATAGCCCAACATTAGCCACCTTTAGCTTAGCGGTGGAGACGTGAAGTCATGTGACCGTGCTGTAGTTCCTTTATAGCCCAACATTAGCCACCTTTAGCTTAGCGGGGGTGACATGAAGTCATGTGACCGTGCTGTAGTTCCTTTATAGCCCAACATTAGCCTCCTTTAGCTTAGCGGTGGTGACGTGAAGTCATGTGACCGTGCTGTAGTTCCTTTATAGCCCAACATTAGCCTCCTTTAGCTTAGCGGTGGTGACGTGAAGTCATGTGACCGTGCTGTAGTTCCTTTATAGCCCAACATTAGCCACCTTTAGCTTAGCGGTGGTGACGTGAAGTCATGTGACCGTGCTGTAGTTCCTTATAGCCTGTAGTTAGCTTTTTCCTTACAAAATCATAAAGTGGTGTTAATATGTGGAGATTATCTTGCTGAACTAAACATGTCAGTATCATAAACGTTTGTTTGACAAAGAGATTATTTTCTGCAATAATCCAAAATCCCATTGGACCAGGGAGATGCTGCCTTCAGGGTCCAACACCTGCTCTACTCTATGACACTGTGACTTAATAGTTATATTAATATTTAACTTTGAACTGTGTCCTGTTTCAGATCAAAGTGTGTGACACCTGTCAGCACACAGAAAGGAGTAAAAACCTGGCCAGGACGGTCCGGCCCATTAAAGTGGACGCACCTTGGGAGATCGTTGGGATCGACATTATAGGTTTTTGCCTTAATTTAATTTCCTCAAATTATATTTATCTGCTGTTTTATTTCTTACTAAATGTTACGTTGCCTTACCTCACCTTACCTCACCTTACCTCACCTTACCTTACCTCACCTTACCTTACCTTACCTCACCTTTCCTCACCTCACCTCACCTTACCTTACCTTACCTCACCTTACCTCACCTCACCTTACCTTACCTTACCTTACCTCACCTTTCCTCACCTCACCTCACCTTACCTTACCTTACCTCACCTTACCTCACCTCACCTTACCTTACCTCACCTCACCTTACCTTATCTTACCTAACCTCACCTCACCTCACCTTACTTTACTTTACCTCACCTCACCTTATCTTCCTCTTCCTCTTCCTCAGGGCCTTTCCCAGAGACGCAGCAGGGGAACTCTAACGTCATAGTGCTCATCGATTACTTCAGTAAATGGCCCGAAGCTTTTCCGGTTCAGAGGACGGACGCTCTCTCTGTCGCAAAATGTATTTCCAAATGCATATACAGGTAGATACACTTCACAAGATCACCTGTAATCACACTTTACCTGACCAGGTGTTTGAAGCCTCATTCATGATATGTGAATCTTAAAGAGGCCCTATTCTGTTTTTGGAGATTCTCCCTCTAGTACGAGAAAAATAAAGAGCTTTTTGAACATTAAAGCATGGAGACATGTCACATATTCAATGTGTCGCTATCTCAAAGCAAAGGTAATCCTCCAAAATATCCTAAACAATGCCCATATCCACAATAGGTTTTCCTGGTTTTAACCACATTCTAGTAATGCCATTCTTGCTAGCAGCACTCAGGGTTCAAAATAAATATTTTACTTTAGAGGAATCATCGAATATTAAGATTCAAAGTTAAATGGAAAGTCTATCTGAAAAACTTTTCGTAAAAGTCCATGATCTTCCTGCCAGAAAGGATTCAGTGATGTCCAAGACCAGAATACTGTGTCCATGTATTTATTATCCTCTCAAGAATGGAAGTAAAATCAGAAAAAAAATCTGACTTTTTCTAAAATGCAACCATCAGGACGCAGAAATAACAATATTTTTAACCTGAAATTAATCTCCTCTTCTTCTCTTTTCGTTCAGGTTTGGTGCCCCTAAAACAATAGTGTGCACGCAGAACGCTGACTTCTGTGATGAGGTGAGATTATTAAAATACTGTAAATAAATATTAAAGCACAGATGTAAACACCCATGCTGCTGTTTTCACAACATACGATGATACTTTATTATCAGATAAAGTCTGGAAGGTTTTTTTGCATCACTGCAGGACCATTTGCAACTTAAAACAAGGATAAACATTAAGAGAAGAAACAGAGATTTCACATGACACTAAAATCACTGTCTGTCAGTATGTAGTGTCTCTACTTTAAAGAGTCTTCTCCTGCTGATGTTCAGGTGTATGTCAGTATGTAGTGTCTCTACTTTAAAGAGTCCTCTCCTGCTGATGTTCAGGTGTATATCAGTATGTAGTGTCTCTACTTTAAAGAGTCCCCTCCTGCTGCACTTTAACTTAAATAAAAATAGTAATACCACCGTGTGTAGAAATGATCAACACAATACAAATAAATCCAGCATTTAAATGTGATAAACACATGAATGCATCAATGATTATAATCAAAACATATCATATATATTATTCTGAATGGGTCGATCTGCATATTGAGTACTTTTACTTTTGGAACTTTAACTATGTTTTGATGCCAATACTTTTGTACTTTTACTTCAGTGACATCTTGAATGCAGGACTTTTACTGTAACAGAGTATTCCTACACTCTGGTATTTCTACTTTTACTCAAGTAAAATATCTGAGTACATCTACTTTTACTCAAGTACAAGGTCTGAGTACTTCTACTTTTACTAAAGTACAAGATCTGAGTACTTATTCCACCTCTGCAGCTTACAATAAGTGCAATCAACCACGAGGATGCAAACTCCGAACAGCACGAATCCTGCAAGAACATCAGCTTCAGATATGCCAAACATTTGTAATTGCTATACAGATATTTGATTTGTTTATTTATTTGACAATTGCCAGGGTTCTCACACGCACCAAGCCCTGGCAGCACATCACCCCTACTCTCTTCAACCTCCACTGGCTCCCGGTCAAGTCCTGCATCACTTACAAACTCCTGCTCCTCACCTACAAATCCCTCCATGCCCTCTCCCCTCAGTACCTCACAGATCTCCTCCACCCTTACATCCCGTCCCGCACCCTTCAATCCTCAGACTCCGGCCTGCTCTCCATTCCCCATTCACGCCTCCGCACCTTCGGGGACCGTGCCTTCAGTGTCGCTGCCCCCACCCTCTGGAACTCCCTCCCTGCAGAAATCTGCAACGCCCCTTCTCTCAACATCTTCAAATATCCATCTCAAAAAGAGCGTCTGATCAATTATCAGTGTGCACAGCAGAAAGGCTGGCTGTAATAATAGGATTACAGTGGGTTGAAGAGGTCAGACCAGATATCGTGGTGATATATAGATTCATTGTCCATATTAAAAAGCATACAGTCAACAACAACTGTCAGAGAAGACATTCTCATAGAACTGAATCATAGCCTGTTAAGACGTCACAGAGGCGGTATAGATCTGCAGTTCTGCTGGCTGCCTGCACATGAGGGGGTGCAAGGGAACGAGTGTGCTGATAAATGAGCAAAAAGTGCACTACAAAAGGAAATAACATTACCAGTTCAACTTGGAAAAGGAGAAGGAAAAGCAGTGATTAAGAAGAAAGGGATGGAGATCTGGCAGAAAAGGTGGGAGAAAGACCAGAAAGGCAAAGAGTATCATAAAGTTCAAAACACAATTGCAATGAATATTTATAAAGAAAGAAACAGAAGGGAGGAAATCATGATAGCTAGACTCAGACTAAATCACACAGCATTGAATGGTACGCTGTATGTCAAGGGGAAAAGTGACAGTGACACGTGTGGGAGCTGTGGAGTTAAAGAACATGTGGAACATATCTTATTACATTGTGACATCTATAAAGCTGAAAGAGAAAAACTAAAGGATAAAGTGATAGAGGCAGAGAGGGAATGGAGTGTGGTTGGTATTCTGGGAACAGAAGGAGAGGGAGTAAGAGCTACCAGAAAGGCACTGTTTACCTTTCTGAGGGAAACTGGGGTAGGACAAATAATGTAACATTAGGTTAGAATGTTGAAACCATGGATTATTGTTTTGTTTTGTTTTATTTATTTATGTTTTTTGTTTATTTATTTATTTTTGATTAGATCATAGATATATACGTCCATGAGTTAAGAGATGGAATGATATGATGATTCAAACTCATGTACAGTAGGTGGCGGTATGCACTAGTGATGGCGAGATGAAGCCTTATGAAGCTTTGAAGCTTTCCAGCCAATTGGTTCGCAAAAGGGTTAATCTCATGATGCTTCATCATGGGCTTCATTTGAACACAAACCCCCCTGTTGGTCAAAGTGTGTAAAACAGGCAGATTGGACATCTCAATAGTGTGCTGTATCTCATACCGAGTTCCCAATGAGTAAAGCCTTAGAATAACTCTAAACAACGAACATTAAATCATATGTTCATGTTAACAATATTGTTTTTATTCCAGTTGAATGATTGTGATTGAAAAGCCTAAGGAGGCTCGTAAACATTGCAAAGAGGGATTTGTATTCCTTAATAATATTCATAAACGTAACCATGTTGTAGCCTGAGAAAGGCTAAACCATATCAAAGAATACATTTATTAACTACATTATCTCATTTAGCTGTAGCTTTTATAAACAACAAAAAATATGTATTGTTCAGTCGTTGAACCAGGGACCCTGCGGTCGTGAGTCAACTGCTTTCCAGCTGAGCCACAGCACACACGCTGAAACTCCCTGAAAACACTACACCATATTTATTCATTTATTTATTCATGTTTTTATTCCTACATTTATTTATGCTTGTATCTATTTATACTTATGACATGTTCCGACCTCTATATAAGTGAGGGTCTGAGTTCTTTTAATTCCATCGTGTCACCACCGGGCCCGGGTACAGGAGGGGTAATATGGTTCTTATTATACATCCATGGGTATTATGAGCGTTGTGGTTCAACGGTTCAACCGATCTGAATCGCTTCCTGAAGCAGTCACGTGGTATCGACAGGCAGCGAGGCTTCGTTTGTCATCGATGACGTCACTGGCCCAAAACGATACAAGCCTCGATACATGCTTCACAAAAAGCTTCGGGGATTACTCGACACACGCTCCGAAGCCTCGGCACAACACGTAACATCACTAGTATGCACCTTAAAGTTGTTTGCAATCCGCCAAAAACCGAGAGAAGAAGAAGGAGGCGTCTTCACCGGAAGTGAAGTTCCCAGCTCTTTCTAACCTGGATCCATGAGGCGTCTCGTCGCTACGGTTCTCTCTCTCTGTGTTCCTGAGAAAGCGTTTGTGAGCTCCAGCACTACTGATCCATCATCTGTGTGTCTGGATAAACCTCCGAATAGACTCTGTGCTCTTTTTTTCTGGAGCGTTTACCTCGGACTATAGGAGCTAGCTTAGCATGCTAGCTGGAAACACGTTAGCAACACTAGTCAGATTGAGAGTTTGGTGAAGAGAGAAACGGTGTGTTTAACGGAGTTTGCAGGAAAAGGTGATCTAGTAAACATGAGTAAAGTCCAAATGCTGCTGTCGTTGAAGAAGCAGCGACTCACTGCTGCTCCTGAAGATATATTTGCTCGGTTTGAAAAAACGATAGCAGAGCTCGAGGAGGAGCTGTCTCTTTCCAAAGAGGAGAACGAGAGACTCCAGAAACTACTGGACGCTGTTTCACAGCCTCAGCTTCGGATACACAGAGAAGGTCTGTTCCCTTTACTCTTCATTAACACTTTAAAGCAGAGGTGTCCAAACTACGGCCCGGGGGCCAAATGCGGCCCGCTGGCCATTTTGAATTGGCCCTCAGCTAATTCAAAAAGTATAATGAAATATGGCCCACAAATGAAACTTTTGCTTTTCTTATATTGTACTTCTTAAATATATATGTACAGATATATTACACAGTAGTATTCATGTGTTAATAAGCCCACTTTTAAAATAAATTCAGTCAATTCATGTTGATAACATTTTCTAACAAATCTTAGTTGATACAAAAAGCCTAATAACTTATTTTCATAACAAGCTTGAAATAGACCCTTCATATTTCATCTTATTATAATCACTCTGAGACTTCTGTTTTTAAGGGATGAGCTGCCAACAAGATAAATGAAACCCTATAGAGAGCTGTGATTTAGGCGTTTTTTTTCTTAAAGCATAGTATCGAGCCTAATTTACCTACATGTTGCTAACTTATAACTTAAAGTGGACCTATCATGCTATATTTAAATGATATATTGTTGGGCCATAAGGTATATTTATACGTTTCTGTTTTCAAAATTCCAAACAGATCATGCATTTCAGCCATGCCTCATTTCGCTCTATTTGCTGTTTGCTGTCTACGGGGCTGATTCTGTGAGCTGCAGCTGACCACGCTCCCCTGCAGGAGAGGGGAGCCGTGCTCTGATGAAGTCAGAAGAGGGGGAGAAAAATAGATCTCCGTCCTCCATGTTATTATAGGCCTATAGAGTCGTTATTCATTTGTTTTAAAGCTCAATAAATAACAAGGAAGACCTTTGACCGGCACTTTTCTAATTTTGTCCAGAAGATTTAAACTTTAACGGAATTCTTGACCGGCGAAAGAAAACCTAACTGAAACTCTGCCGCACGGTCCCCTCGTTCCTTGGAAGAGGTGGAGAGGTGGGTGTTTGTCATCTGCTGGTGGACTAACCGGAGAGAATTACAGTGCTTGCCTCGACGGGGAGGGATTGCATTGAATTAAAGCAGCGGGAGCAAGCGCTTGCCTCGGGGAGGGAGGAAAAAAAGCGGAGAATAAACAGAAGGGTAACCATGGTTACCATATGCACGGGAAGTCTTCTTCGCTGCTTATGTGGCAGACTACAGCGCCACTTACAGGCCTGGCATATGTACTACAGCGTCTCCAGCGCTTTCAAACTGCAATGGCCGGCCGTGGCCCAACCCCACATTCCCCTGATTGGTGGAGAGTTGGCCCAATAGCCGTAGCGCCACTTTACTGACGTCAGTGAAGTGTTCAAATCTGGATCAGTTTTTATCAGATCCGTTGCAGCCCCTTTTTTAGAGATTTGGGTATGGAGGAAAATAGAGAGGGTTGTGTTTTCTGACACTTGGTGAGTTCCCTGGAACACCGGGGACACATATTCATGTATAAAAGACGTACAAAAGTGCATTTTGCATGATAGGTCCCCTTTAACTGATGAGGCAATATACCTCACCTTTATGAGTGCCCCAGCCCTTCGTATGTTTTTCTGTATGTGGCCCTCGGTGAAAAAGGTTTGGACAGCCCTGCTTTAAACTCTTTTGGTAACACGTTAAACAATTTGGTAACACTTCTGACTGTTTATTATTGCTGGGCAACGATTAAACATTTTAATCATGATTAATCAAATTATTTTCTGCGATTAATTGCATTGTTATGCACTAGGGGTGTAACAGTTCACAAACATTTCGGTTCAGTACGTACCTCGGTTTTTAGGTCACAGTTCGGTACATTTTCGGTACAGCAGAAAAAATGATCACAAAACATAAAATATCTTTTTGGGGTTTTTAATTATTATTAAACTGTGAATAATGTATTCACTCAAATAAATAGAAAATATGATAAAATAGATATTAAGGTGCAGCATTTCGATGAACTGAAATAATCTGTATTTGAACTGTACTGTACTAGTACCTAAGCAGCCGGCTTGACATTAGGACTTGCTTACTTGTATTTTCATGTTTTTTTAAAGAAAAATTAACTTGTCCACATTGCTTGCCGAAAGGGCAGATCTGCTGGCACTAACAATGTCTCCTGCTGTGGAGAACACCCTCTCGCTAGGGACAGAGGTAGCAGATACAGCCAGGTAGCGCTTTGCTAACATGGCAACATAAGGATATTTGGCGTTTTTGTAATAGCTTTGGCTCGGTCTGAACTTTTTGCGAGTGGTGGAGGCTTAATTGCTAGTGGGAGTTGAGTTTGCACTTCAGTCTTTTTTCTTTTGGTACCGGTGATATTCACGTTCGGGGGATGCCTTTTCAAATGAGTGTGCATGTTTGATGTATTGCCAGCCGCGTAACCAATTTTAGTTGAACAATGCCGACAAACAGCTTTGGTTCGG